CTCTGGAAAGGATCCTTTGAGAAGCTGCAGTGATTTGGGGGCCACAGGCATTCAGTTAATCTGTTGGTTTTGAACTATACTTTTAAGTTACTGTAAAAAAGCAATAATAACAGCTACTTTGTATTCCTGTGTTATGATTTAAGTTACACCTAACAATTTGCTTAAATACTAAGTGGCACAGTGCAGAGCCCTGGACTTGGAGTCAAGAAGATGAGTTCAAATCCTGAGACAATTGCTTGTTGTGTGAACCTGGTAAAGCCACTTGAGACCTTTTTCAGCCTCTGTTTCCCCTTCTATAAATGAGAATTATAGCACTACCTCCTGGTTGTTGTGAGGTTAAAATATTTATAAAGTACTTTGTAAAATTTATTGAGCTATAGAAGTGCTATTATTATTAATAAACTAAGTGATTTGATTGTATCTTGGCGCACGGGAACTGGAAGAAGCACTCGGTATCACGAGCTCAACACTGTGGTATCATTTCTGACACTAAATAGTTGACTCTACCCTTCTCTAAATCCACTTTACTGCTGCTTATAAAATGATGCAGCTCAACTTGGTCTCAAAGAAACCATTTCAACTCCAATGTTTGGATTCCATGAATTTCCCACTCATCCTACCTTTTATAGAATGGGACTGGTTTTATTTTTATGTCCACCACATCTAGTTTGCATGCCTACCACACGGTGGATGCTTAATAAAAAGAACAAAATAGCATTAGCTTTATTGGAAAATTCAGGAAATACAGAAGTTCTTTTACAATGCTAAAACTAAGTAGCAGAGTGGCTGGCGCATCATTAGGCACTATTTAAGTGCTTTATTGTTGTCATTATATCATATCCACTTTGCTAGGATATTGTACAAGGATTCTTGTACAGATATGGGTTAGCTAGCCTCTAAAAATGCTAACCAACTCTGATTCTGTGATTTGTCTTTTGTACCTCCAATTTCATTACTCTCCTAAAACAAAGGTAGACCACATGTGGTCACTAATGACTTAGAAACTCAGATTCATACTTCTTTCAATCATGCTATGGACCTATCATGCTATGGTTCATGGGGTCATGAAGAGTTAGACACGACTCAATGACTGAACAACATGTACCAGGCACTGTGCTAGAGGTACAAAGGCAAAAATGAAAGCACCTGCCCTGAAGGAAGTTAGATCTGATCCACAGTAAGTATATATACAAAACAAAAACAAGTCAATGGGAGGAGCGATGGGGAAAGAGGCAAGGCCTCATTTAAATAGTGTTGCTTGAGTTGAGTTTCAAAGGAAAATAGGTATTTTTAGATGGAATATCCTGTTGTAGTAAGGAAGAATATGGCCAGTTTAGTAGAGTGTGTAAAAGGGAATAAGTATTACACAGAATGTAAAATGTATATAATAAGGTAGTTTAGAGCCTAATTGTAAAGTGTGAACCAAACAAGTATCAACATAAAGCAGGAGGCTTAATAAACTTTATTTCACTCTTAGGATAATGATCTCTTATTCTGTTTAAATTTTTTTTTAAAAAAGGCACTGATTAAGTTAGCATTTTCGGGGGCCGCTAGGTGGCACAGTGGATAGAGCACCTGCCCTGGATTCAGGAGACCTGAGTTCAAATCCAGCCTCAGATGCATAATACTTACTAGCTGTATGACCTTGGGCAAGTCACTTAACCCCGTCTAGCCAAAAAAAAATAAATAAATTTTAAAAATTAAATTAGCATTTTGGCATAAAATAGGTCAAGCCTGAAACGTATCAAGATCAGGCATCTTTAACATAGGCAATAATTTAGAATACTTATTGATTTTATCTTTCAAATCCATTAATAAGGCACAGCCACTCCAAAGATGCCCATAGGTCCACATTAGCTCTCGTTTTTTGCTTGCTATTCAGTTCAGCCAAATGTTTTGTGACTGCCCAAGGGCTGATGCTGTAATGGGCCTTGATAATTAAATCAGTTCATTATTTCCAGATTAGTGACTTCTTTGATCTGACTAGTTTGTCACACAACGGCAATGGACCTAGGCAAGGTTCTCAGTCAGGATCTGTCCCTGTTCCTAGGGCAGGATCTTCCTGTACTTTGGTAACCAAAGTGCCATTTAATATAACCAATGCCCGATGGTTTTAAATTCCACAGTAGAGCATCACCCCTGTCTGATGTACAAGCTATAGCCACCCATCCTCTTTTTATAGAAAAGCAGAGACAGCTTGCTACTTCACTGGGTCTCCTTTAGCCAAAGAAAGGCTGTGAAAAATTAACATTGATACCTTCTCACATACAGAGCTCCATAGCGAGGCTGCTTAATCCTAAAGCAACAACCTGCTTAAAATTAAAAGTCTATGCCTTGGAAACCCAGGTAGGAACAAATGCCCAGGAGAATGAATAACTAATCCCAAAACATTTCATGTCTTACCTGGTTTTCTAATAAATGCTAAGTTAAAGGTATGAGAAATCACACCAGAGAAGAAAAAATAACCACTGGCATCTTGGGCCTCAAAACACTTTTGTTTTCACCTTCACTGGCAATAAATATGTATACACTGGCCATCCTTTGGGAAGACACCAGGGATATGCTGAAATCCTTTAGGAAGTAGGAGGGATCGAAGAGGGAAGGATAAAAGATGAAGAGAAAGTTTGTATTTGCATTTTTGATTTATTGAGTTTAACATCACAGTAAAATAGGTTTCATAATACGGACAAGTTGGTGGTACAACGACTAGTGGGGCTTTTTATTCTCTATGTGCTATTATGGAGATGTACCTCCATGGATTGAAAACCTCCTTAGTTGATCAGTAACCATTTGGAGGTGGTATGGCAGCTAGTTTGTTAGTGAAAACTGTATGACCTGGAGAATTTGAAGTCAGGTGGAGCTCCCTGGGTTCTCCATGCGTGCTCCTAATTACAGCAGGATGTTCTAAACTCACAATCCCTTTACTCCAAGGGCTGATTTCATCTAAAAGCTACTCACAAACAGTTAAGTGGAGTGGTTACCTAGCAACCTTCATCCCTGCAGACAGCAATGTAAAGATAACTGTAGACACAGTTGACCCCATTTCTTTATTTCTATCCTTGCCTTGAGATAATTTAGTCATAGTTAAGCAGCATATCAATGATTCTAAGTCTAATGATGCTGCTTTTGTAAACATTAATAACTGGCTGATATATTCAGCCACAACAAAGGGATTCAGAAAGGCAGTCATCATCATTTAATCTGCCACAGTAAGTAATAAGCAATTAAAGGGCTTATTTTTATTTTGGAGGGCTTTTAAAAAAATGCAGATTTGAAGCTATTTCCCCCTTTATTCTCACAGGCTTCTATTCAATATCAGAAACACCAAGCTATCAGGGTGGAATATGTTAAGAGTCAAATCTAGGGGAAAGAACCAGTTCTTCCCAGAGCTGACTCAGGAAATGGTAATCACTCTCCAATGAAATCTATAAAAGGCATTTGATCCAGTGGCTGCTCTAGTACTAACACCTGTGCTCAGCTCACACTATGGAGTCACAGAACTCACGGCATAATTAGGTTTACACTTCAGGGTCTCACTTGCCTCTTCACAGGAGGTAAGGAGCCTTTATTAATATACCTCAACACAGGCACCACTTAAAGCAAGCCTATGTATTAAATGAACTCTCCCCATTTCCTTCAGCCTTGTTTTCTAAAGTCATAGGCACAACAGAACAATACTATTGGTAAACTGCATTTGTGCTGATATTGAAAGCAAGAATACCAAGGAAAAATTAATAGAAAAAATGTTAAGATAAATCCACTAGTTCACTTTAGAAAATCCAGACTAATTTTATTGTAAGAATAACTATGTATAAACATGAGTTAATAGAGAAGAAAAACAAAAACACTTTATTCTAATGGGGTTATAATTTACTTTATATTAAATAAATGGAGAGAAATTTGCGATATTGATCCAGTTATGAATGGCTATGTTTTAGGCAGCTCAGTACCCTCTAGTTATTGATCTAGCCAAAGTTACACTTGGCTAAACATGTTTTTTCCCCATTTTTTGGAGAGGTACTAATTATGAATTTGAGATTTTCAGTGTCCTTAAAGGACTAAAAGGACCTTGGGTCCAGTATTTTGAAATCTCATTAGTAAGGAAATATTTTAATTACAGCAACCATAACAAATTAATTTTTACATGAGATCTAAATGGAGTTTGCATTTATCTATATGAATCTAAGAGAAAATGTCATTACAAAATAGCTCCTGCCAACTAAAGACATGTATTTTCCCCAGACATATAACATATTCTCACCCCTTTAAAAAGATGAACAACATATATCTAATTCTCTCAGATACAACCACTATGAACCTGAGAATAGCAGGCTAGTCTCCTAACACCTAGTCTTTAATCTTTGGACCACATTTTAATTAACTGTATATCAGGTAACTTCAAAAGAAAATTAATTCCTATGAAAGATTTATGCACAGCTATATGACAGTATTCTTTTTGTAAAACAAACAAAAAAATCTGTAGGCTTACTTTCAAACAAGCTTAAAATGACAATGCTAAGCCTTCCTTTTTAGCTGTTGGATAAAACCTGCAGACACGTGGAAGGCACACATCTTTTCCAAAGAACAGTAACCCACATACTTTGTTCAACCAAGTTGTATCCACCACATTAACTTATTCGAAGAAGACAGTCCACCTGCTGAAAACAGTCTTTAATTACTGGACAATCATGATTAGTTTTACTTCTGCGAAATAAAAATAACTGCATGAAATAAATCCACCACAGGACTTTTACACTTTCAAGTTCTGAATACATGTTGTATTAGCCCATGGGGATAAAAGGGCATGGGGAAGAGGCACACCTCACACAATCTGAAATTCACAGCAGCATAGACTCAAAGTGCAAAGGGCATATAAAATAAATGTCTTATAGGATTCCTTCCAGATAGTCATCAGTTTTTTCTATATTAAATTCTTAACAAGCATTGAAAGTATATGCAAGATTAAGTCACATGCAACAAATGAAGATGAACACACTAACTCAATGTTGAAACTTTAATTATAAAATCCCCAAACTGGAACTAGCAACAGATAGTAGCATGTCAATACAAATGGACAATGGCTTAAAAAAAATACACCAATTTAAATAAGTTTGAGTGAATACTGTACAAGGGTATCCATATATCTGTTATCCTCTTGGAAATATAAAATCAAGTATATCTATAGTACTTAAAATTCACCATGTGTCATGTTATCCTGAAGCCTGATGAGCACACTTTATAAATACAAGTTATGTTTCATGTGGATAACTGTGACATACCTAAATAACTAAGACAGATAACATTGGATTCTACCATGTTAAAAAGCAAGACTTTCACCTGCCAATTTATTTCATTCTCAATGGAAAGATATCTGCAAGTCTTTGGCATTAAGAATGCAAATACATTTCCAACTGTGGAAAAAATAATTATAATATTAGAAATAATATAACTGTATAATCTACAATGCAGAAGCAGATATTCTACATATTATGTAGTTACACTATTTTAAAATGAAAACAGTATTTAAGCTTACAACAAATTCACTTGAGGCCAAAAGAAATCTGTTTATTATAAAACAAGATACAAGGTCTTAAAAGAGAGCAAGGCAACATTAAATCAACCACTTTAGATTTTGAAAATGAAGTGCAGTTTGAAAATTGTAAAGAAAGATGAATGTAGCTCCTAACATGCTATCCTCTTCTCTTCTTTATAAATGGGATGAAGTAGAGAAGCAAAGCTTCAGTGTGTAGGGATTAGAACCATCTGTAAAAATTAAAAATCAAGGTTAATGGCTAATTCTGAAAATGCTTTACCTACACAATTGGCATTTCAACTTTTAGAATACCTGTACAAATTTACAGACCCTCTTTATCTAGGGAATGAATAGAAACAGGAATGGAAAGAAGCAAACATCCTAGGGTAAGGAGAAGTCTACTGTATTTGCTCTTTTCCTTGAAATAAGAAGGAAGTTCAAGCTTAAGTTTTCTTCTTGCCACTCCCTGAGCTTACTCTGCATCAAATATTACTTTTCAAAAAGTAAGAGCACCACCAACCCTAAACCCCCAAACAGCTCAGTTTCTTCCCTAGGTTGTGGGCTGAGGTCAGAAAAGGCATGCAAATGATCCACTCTATCCTGGAATAAGGTTTGGCCTGACCTCAGAACATCAGCGGATCCTCAAGGAAACCTGGCTGATCCTAAGCTGCATGAGACACTTAGTGCATCAGTGAAAATACTTCTATGTTAAAACAATACACCATAACTTTCTCCTACAGCACTGTCATAATCTGGCACAAATTATACAGGTAGATTAGAACTGTTTGACTTACTTGGAACTCTTATTTGGTAGTGATTAAGGGCAGTGAGGGCTTCTACTGCATCCGTCTTGCATTCCCATTCCAATAGGCCAGAGAGTGTTTTGGCAGAAGCTATAAGATAAAATGTAATTGTTGTTTTCTTGTCATAATCAACAGCTCAAAAAAACCAAAACAATAGAAAAAATTCACTTACGTTTTGCATCAAAGACTTTGTATTTGATAAATGTGAGAACTTCATGATCATTACATAGCTGCCAAAGAAACAAAAACAGAAAAAAAAATTTGAAAAGTTCATCTAAAAAAGTACATCCTCTTTCCAGAAAATAAGTAGTTAATAAATAAATAGGTTAGGATCTCACAATTCAGTGTTAATCATCAAGTAAAAAGACTAAAAACAGCATAAGTAACCAACTTAGTGCTTACTAAATAACCAACGATAAATACTACATACTCTGATTGGCTAGAATATATAGCAATACCATCTATCTTTAAGAGATCAGGTAACTTCTGGAAGCAATTCCTAAAATAAGGATGGGCACAATTTTGCTTCAGGACAAATTTAAACAGATAAAAAGGAATAATTCTATTGGTATAGAAGCTTACACATTTCACCCCAACCACCCCCCCCCAGCAAGGGAATTTAGCCAGAAATTCATAAAGGTAAAAAGAGAGGGCTGGAGTAGGTGATCTCATTTAGGTGTCTTAGTGTTTTAACATTCCAAAGAAATACCAAGGAGAAGGAAGAGAACAAAGACAACTGGTCCATAAAGGATTTGGGGATGCAAATTACACAAATTCTACATTTATCATTTGTATTTTTAGCAGCCAATTAATTCCTACCTTTGAAAAGGTGTCTTCTGTAACACACAATGGAACATTGTAATAATGCAGCACACAAGAGGGTGGCTGGATTATGTTCTTGGATGCCTGACCAGCACTTGTAAAACGATTATTTTTGCTCATGGCAAAATCCTTGTAACTGCTTGTACCATCTTCCAGTTCAAATATTTGACTAGGAACAACTGAATGTTGTTTGGATACACTAAATATCAAAAAGAAAAAAAACACAGAACGCACATTGTTAAATAAAGGTAAGCAACCTACCCCAAAATATTAGGATATATACTATGTTTATAGTAACCCTAAGAAAACAAATCATAAGTACATTTAGCTATTTAAACAAATGAGTAATACTATAGTTTAGGCTCTGATTATTCTTATTATTTGCTTATCAACTAAAGGGCAAATCTAATTAATATTTTCTTGTATTAGAATACTTTTTTAATCAATTAAACAAATTCCTCTTTTATTTTTATATACCTTCATTTCCCAACATCTCCCCCTTATAACAAAGAGATTAAAAAAGAAAACAAAAGAGTTCAGCAAATACATCAATCAAGTCCAACATCACATGCAGTAGTCTGCATCAAAAGTTCTCCACCTTTTCAGAGAGGTACATATGCATGCTCATTAGCACTAATTATCATTAGCATATTTTAAAGAAATATTTATCAAATTAAAAGCTACCATTTTAGTATAGTCTGTTATGATAAGACTAAAAGGTCAGCCCAAGAAAAAGTTTTCTAACACAAATAATGTAAAATACCACAAGACACTCACTTCAGATATGCTTTGAATTCTAAAAAATTAAGTTAAAACAATTCTAATTTTAAACAACTACAGAACTATCAAAGACTACAGAAGCAGCATTTATTAATACATGTTTATTAAAATAAATTACCAAACATTAAGTCTTTTTCCAAATAACTTGACATTATTAAGATGTGTGACAGCTCGTTCTACCGCATACTCATCACCCATTTCTACCAATGCGGTACCAGGAATGGTTTTCATAAATTTTACCTGTCAATATAAAAGAAAAAAAGGTAACCAATTAACTCTACAATTCTATATCAAACTTAAAGAAGCTATAAGTAAGTGGTTGAAGACCAAGCATGAAGATCATCTGAACTCTCACTTTATTCTAGCATGCCACGAACATTTTTGCTTCATTTACACCAAAATCCAGTGGAAAGCGAGTAACATTAGACTAGAATCTACAGCCATTACCCAGCAACGACATGACATATAAATGGGTAGCCTATTTACTTTCTTGTCTCTCTAGCTCAAAGAATAATAAAATAAAATAGAATGCATGAGAGGAAGCAGGACATAATGGAGCGAGAGAAAACCTTGTAATCAAAGAGACCTAGGCCCAAGTTCTGCCTCTGATATAAACTGGCCAGGTGACCCAGGACAAGTTACACAACATTTCAATACCCCAGAAAACTCTAACCTGCATAACAGTCACCAATTTAACTTCTTTTTTTGGGGGGGAAGGGGGAAAATGAGGCAATTGGGGTTAAGTGACTTGCCCAGAGTCAACACAGCTAGTAAGTATTATGAGTCTGAGGTCACATTTGAATTCAGGTCCTCCTGACTTCAGGGACAGTGCCCTATCCACTGCGCCACCTAGCTGCCCCTACAGTCACAAATTTGAACTGAAATTCCTTGCCAGGAGTTTCCTCCATCAATGAAATCACAGGTCTAAATAAAAAAAGGTGAAAAAATGTTGTGAAGCACCTATTTCTCTTAAATTTTAGTTTAATAATCTTTATTGTTTTTGAGTTTTGATATGACATATGCTTCATACATATACACAAAAAGCTACAAGGTGAAAAGTAATGACAAAATCCTGTTATAACTTGTTTGTGGCAAAATCTCTCCCTTAAATTAGCTAATTAATGTTCACTCCAAAATCTGAAGTTAAGACATCAAGGAAAAATGATATATTCTTAAATACCAATAAATCCCAAAAGATCTGGGTGGGCAACCACATAGATCATTAAAGATTACACTGGTATATACTTAATGTGCTTTACTTTTCAATATTAAGGCTTCAAGATTTCAATTAATGAGAGAACTGAAATAAGTTACCAATTACATACTATTAGAAAAGGTAGGTTTGGGTTTTTTGGATTGTTTTTAAATTTAATTCAATCAAATGTGGTGGACCACTGAATCACACATGTGTGATAATTATACTTGTCTTATAAAATGAACACCTGATCAAGTCAGATTATATATGCCAAATTATAAAGGGTTTCAGTGGAGCTGACAGGACCCAGCCCCAACAAATCTCTGATATTTGAAGCACTGAAATAAAATTAGAGTGAGCATGGATAAACATAGAGAGGGGAAATTTTTCTGGGCTCCCTTCACCTCCTTCAGTTTTTCAAAGATCAGTGATTTTGTTGAGGTGAGTCCTCCTTCCACTGACCCATATCAAAAACTCTCTGATTCGGCAGATGGTCTTTGAGAACAACTCAGGCCAAAAACTCATCATTCTGTAGTAGGTCAAGTAATGAGCCTTTCCAAACTTAGCTAATGGGCTGGTCCTCCAAAGACAGCCAGTCCATCACTGAAGCAGAACTTCATCTTGAAGCATGATTTTTTGGAAGGTCACTTAGTTGTCAAATATGCAATTGTCAGGGCTTAGTTAGAGAAAGGGAAAGAAAGGGAATATGCATTTATATAACACCACTATACAAATATCTCACAACTTACATTTGAGAAAAATTAGGCAAATAGAGGTTAAATGACTTGTCCAGCATCACACAACTAGTGTCTGAGGCCAGATGTGAATTCAGTTCTCCCTGACTCCAGGCCTACCTACACTCTGCTTCCTAGCTACCCTGAGTAAAATTATTAGACCTAAGATAAAGATCTATTGTGGTTTTAAGAAGTTTTATTTGTTACCTTTATAATACTGCCCTAATATGAATGAACAGGAAGAATAAATGAGGAAGAAGGCACTGTATTTGAATTAGTTTCGGGACTTCTAATTAGATAGTATAGCAACAAATGGTCACTTGATGAAGTTTACCTTTTCAATATTTCCATACAAGCAGAATAGATTGAAGACCCTTGAACAATTCATCTTCAGTTGATGTAACCCACTAACCATAACAACTGAACCAGAAGGATTTCCCCCATGCATATAGGAGGAAGAAGCCTGTGGAAGGGGATATGCAACAAGTTCAGGCGTATCTCGGGAGCCCATTCGATAACGGCTTGGTAAAGGCAATAATGGACCATGCGAACCTACAAAAATGGTTGGGGGAAAAAAGTGTTCATTACTTATTTCATTTTGTAAAAGTTTCAGTGGATATACTTCATTATTAAAAAGTAATTTCCTAGAATCAGTTTATCATGAAGAAAATATAATTACTCATTGACATATTTCTGAAGGCTTGTTCTCAAAGCATATATTTAAATATATAAAAATTCCACTCATTTATATCATGTCTATTCTACACTGACCTAAATGCATTAAACTACAAATTAAATGTTTTTTATAATATAACTAATATCCTACAAAGGAATCTTCTAATGATAATTTCAATTATAAGGTGACCTTTGGCCACCTTAGTGCTGTACTGGAGGCATTAATTCCCTATAAGCTACCTGGAGTAGAAGTCACTGCAATGAACTTTCCCTTAGGTTCTGTGACTAATATGAATTCTAAGAAAGTTATGGGTAACAAATGCAATTATATTTCATTTATCTGGGCAGCCTTACCTACCTAGAACTTGAAATTTTCTAAGCAAACAAGGGACCACAACTTGCTTGCACTAAAGCATATGGGCTTTATTTACAGGAATCTTTTTCTTCATATTGTGGAAACTATTCTAAGGAACTTTGTTACCTAATCACCCCACCCACAGAAGATTGGAATCAAGCCAATAAGAAAGCAGAAGTGAAAGTTAAGGAGCTATCAGAGGCAGAAATAATGAAAACAGCCAGAATAAACACAATGGCCTATAAAAAGCAGACACAATAACCCAAAACATATCGCCATAGGACAATTTTGAGGAAAAAAAAGAGGAATTACCTTTCAACACTTACAGGATCACTGATCTAGAGTTTGGAAAGGTCCTCAGATACTACTGTATTGAATCCTCTCATTTTACAGATAAGGAAACTGAGGTCCATGGAGATTAAGTGACTTGCCTAAGGTCCAACAAGTAGTGGGATTTGAAACTAGGTCCTCTGATGCAGTGCAGTTTCCCTTCAATAGTGTTAGAAGACATACCTATATACTCATGCTATACAGTTTAGTATAACTAATGATTTTCATAATAACAGATCACCAAGACAAGGTTAAGTTATATTATATATACTCTGTTTTTATTAAAGAGGGCTAACAAAAATATAACAGATTTTGAGGAAATTTCCATCAAAACCATTTAAAATTAATAAAATTAGTGCTTAAAAGGATAAAACTTCAGTTACTTGGAAAATTCACTTATGTGGCTCTAGTCATTCTCTGACAATGACAGCTAAGTAATGAGTTATTATAAATTCCCTGAAAGCACTCTTCATCTCTGAATTAAAAACCTGTCTGATACCTATAATCAAAGATGTTAAGCATTCACTAGCAGCTTATATATAGAAAAATCTTCTGGTAATCAAGGTCAACAAATTTCTGTACACAGCACTGCCTTATTGCTGTTTGAGACAGTGTGGCCTAGGCCCGAGTAGATTAAAGTCCTGCCTTGGTTAGTCAAGTTCAAATTCCACCTATGGTACTAGCTGTGCAACCAACCGCTAGCAAATCATTTAATTAGCAGCCCGACACAACTCCCCATGATTTATCTACAAAGATACAAGTGCAATCTGTTGGTGGAAGGACTTCCTACACTGGGAGTTTCCCCACACTGACAAACTTCTGCATCTTTTGAGTACTTCTGAATTATGGTTACTTCTATTGGCTCAACCAAGGCTTCCACACTGCCCACAGAGGATTTCAGGCATCTTCTGGAGGTTTTTTTAAAAATCTTTGGATTTGGAGGATATAAAAAAATCTTTGATTTGGCCTACTACTTGTTTTAATTTCCTCACAGAACTGAGGGAAGATCATGGACCTGATTTGGCTGGTGACATGGAAATCAAAAAAATCTTAGGTGTGATTGTATCATCTTAAAGTTCAGAACAGTCAAGGAAGGGAGAAGGTTGAACATAATCTGTATATCCTCTAGACTTCAGAGATGTGGATTTCAAAAAAGTACAAACAAAAAATAGGTTTTATCCTATTTGCCATGATTTACACAGTTCAAGAGGGATGGAAGGCTCTCAAGAATCAAATTCTAAGAACACAATCCCAAACGACCACTATGAAAAAGTAAATGGGAAAGCCTCATTTGAAAGTTCAGCCCTGCCCTTTTGGGAAGCCTGAGATGTCTGACACAATTCAAGACAAACCTTGAAGCAGCACCTACCATCTAAAGCTGTGCTTCTTAAACTGGGGCTCATGACCCCATGGGGTTGCAGGAAAAATCTGGCAACAGCACAAGGTTTCTGGATGCACAACAACCAAAAATTAATTCAAAATCAAATGCGTGATGAGTCCAAGGTGTTTCTGGCAGCGCTTACCTGTGTGTTCGAGCAACTGAAGTGTTAGTACTTTGCACTGTGCATGCCCTCAGGCTGTGCAATGCCAACAAACACGGTCAAAACATGAAAAGGGGTTGGGATGATACAAAATTTAGCTAAGTTTTCTCTTAGCCCTTACACTCACGGAGTTTATTTTACTTAGTAGGGAGATATGTGAATGTATCAAATTAGTAAAGACCTGGAAACAAAATACTAAGTGAGGTAGATTCAGGGCCCAGGGGGCGAGGGAAAGGGAGAAGGAGAGAGAAAGGAAGAGGACAAGTTTCATGGAAAGTGGCATGGGGAATAGAATTATAAATAGACAAAGAGGCAAAAAAGAGGACATGTCAAGAAACATAAAAATCGGCAAAGGAATGAAGGCAGGAAACTGCAAAGTGTAGTCTGGGGACAAGTAGTCCAATTTGAATAGACTATGGCATATGTGGAAGGAGGCAATATGAAATAAGCCTGAAAAGTGAGATGAAACCAGATGGTAGAGGGTCCCTAAACGCTAGGGTAAGGAGTTTAGATGTTTCTCAATAGACGGCATGAGGAAGCATGATGAAACAGAAATACTGCTAGATTTGGACACAGAAGACCAAGGTCCTTGTCATTACTATTCACTATCTACATGACCTTAAGAAAGTCACTTAACTTGTTTGGGTCCTAATTTTCTCATCTGTGAAAATGAAAGTGTTCATAGAGAGGATCTCCAACCTCCCTTTCTGCTCTAAAGAAACTGATATGGCTATCCACGTATACCCTCCAATGAACTCAGACATACAGACACCTACTAAAGATAGAAGCAAGGTCATATAATCAAGGACGGAATACAAAAGGGACATGGTCCCATGAAAAAAACACAGGAAAGCCAACTCCAGAATTAGCACAGGTTATGAAGAAATACTAAAAGACAATAAAAACTTTTAGGGCTGTAATGATATGCTCACTACTTGGAATAGATGGGGCAGTTAATGAATGTCATAAAGTACTTCTGTTTTCTCTAAAATGGTCAACAATCTTCAGACTGAAAAGGATAAAGTAAAAATGGATGAGAGCAAATTAAAAGGGTCAGTTAAGAAAATATGACAATAATAATACTACCCAAATTATTTACTTATTCAGTGTCATACCAAACTACTAAAAGACTGTTTTAAAGAGCTCAAAAACAAAAACAAAAATTTATCTGGAGGAACAAAAGGTCAAGAGTCTCACAGGAAATGAAGAAAAGTGGGGATGAAGAAGGCCTAGCAGTTTCAGATCTTAAACCATAATATAAAGCAGTAATCATCAAAAATTATTGGTACTAATATAATAAATTTTTAAATTGTTCTGCCACCTCTTCCCCTCCCCCCCCCAAAATGACTGGTACTAGTTAAGAAGCAGAGAAATCAGTGTAATAGCTCAGGGCATGGGACAGCTAGGTGGCACAGTGGATAGAGCACCAGCCCTGAAGTCAGGAGGACCTGAGTTCAAATCCGGCCTCAGACCAAACACTTCACACTTATTAGCTGTGTGACCCTGGGCAAGTCATTTAACCCCAATTGCCTAAAAAAAAAAAAATAGATCAGGGCATAATATATAGATGCAAGCAAACACAGGAGTCCAGTATTTGATAAACTCAAAGATCTCTAGGAGTAACAACTCAATATAAGACAAAAACTGCTGGGAAAACTAGAAAGCAGTCTGGCAGAAATCAGGAGAAGTTAGGTTCAGACCATCTCACACCATACACCAAGATGAGCTCCAAATGGATACAAAACTTAGACATAAAGGGTATCATCATAAATCAGAGGAGTTAGGAAGAAATTTACCTTTCACATCTACAGGGGAAGACAGGGGAGGAGTTCATGACCAAACAAAGGATGGAGAGGATCATAGAAGATAAAATGGACATTTTTGATTACACAAAATTGAAAATATCTTGCTTAAAAAAAAAAATAAAATAGGCTTCAGAAGGAACGCTGGTAACTAGGAGAAAAAAATCTTTGCAGCAAGTTTCTCTGATAAAGGTCTTGTTACCAAGATATATAAGGAATTGATTCAAATTTATGAGTGAATGCCACTCTCCAACTGAGAAAACAGTCAAAGATTTTGAACAAGCAGTTTTTAAAGAAATCCAACCTATGGATAGCATATTAAAAAAAGCTCCAAATCATTAATAATTGAACAAATGCAAATTAAAGCAACTCTGAGGTTCTACCACACATCGATCAGACTGGCAAAGCTGTCAAAAAGAAAATGACAAATGCTGGAAGAACTATTCAAAAATAGGCACATTAATGCACTGCTGGTGTAGCTGTGAACTGGTCCAAACATTTTGGAAAGCCATTTGGAACTATGCCCAAAAAGTTATTAAATTGTGCTTGCCCTCTGACCCAGAAGAATACCACTACTAAGTACATGTCCAAGGAGGTCAAAGAAAAAAGAAAAGGACCCATATGGATGCAAACATTTATAACAGCTCTTTTTGTAATGGCAAAGAATTGGAAACTAAGGAGGTGCTGATGATTTGGGATGAAATGGCTGAACAAATTATAGTATGTGAATGAAACAGAATATAATCATGCTATAAGAAATTATGAAAGAGTTTCAGAGAATGTGGGAAAGCTTATATAAACTGATGCAAGGTGAAGTGAGCAAAACCAGAACAATTTATTACCATGGCA